GAGATTGGGCCTCTTTATAGAATTATAATAGGTTGTTGGGCCATTCTACTGATCTACTTCGTGGTTTTGGAGATCAAGAATGTGTAGTGAAAAAGGTTTAAATGTGCGGTTGTCTTTTTTAGGAAGAAGCTTGAATATGGGTGGATCAATATGGTGAAAGTTTAGTTGGGTATGCAAACGATTGATTCCATGATTAGTTTGAAAATTGCAAAAATGCATTCACTTTTGTCATTTGAAAAGTTCAAAACGTTTCGGAAGATAGTATGTTAGAATGGACTTTCTGTTGAATTTTTGGGATTTAGAAAGAGAAGCACAGGAGACTTAGCGGGCATTTTTTTGTGCATAATGGAATTTGATGGAATTGGAATTCATCAAAGAAATTAGAATGAAATTTGACCATGTAATGGTTAGTAGGAATTGGAATGGAATCTCTCGAAAGAATTGGAATCTTTATCTTTGTTTGAACCACGCCCATGCCCACCACCCCCCCAATATTGACCACCATGACGCTATTACCGTTGTCACAATTACCACCCCCACACCCTACCGACCACCATGCAACTGATGTTGTCGTTGTAGCTACCACCCTGCCTGCCTCGCCCCTCCCACCCGCCTCGCCCCTCCCACCCACGATTTGGATCTTGAAATTTGGATTCGATTTGATCTCATTACAATTAGATATTCGATTATGTTTGCTCGATTTAAATTGGATTGCATAACATTTTGCACATCTCTTAGAAAGCAGTGATGCATGTTAAGGTTGTTAGGAATAAATTCAATCAAGTTATGGATATCCACCTATATTTATAGTTTAGCAAAATTTAAAATAAGATAATTAAAATTTTAAAAATCAAAATATATAATTATTTATTTTAAACATTAATAGATAAGTAGTTAAAAAAATTTGGTGCGGTACATTATTATCGTGGTACAAGACTTTTAATACCATATACCAACCAAAATTAGATAGTTGGTCCGGTATAACCAATCAATTAGATCGGCACCAACTAAATTGGTTTTGTTGGTACAGAAATTGGTTGGTTTGTCTGGGTACAAAATTGACACCCCTAGCATTTACAATATTGTTTTTGTAGGCTAAATGCACCCTTAACTAGGGGTGTGCATCAGGCAGGTCGGGGAAAGTTCGAGTTGACAAACCAAAAATTTGATCAGATTTCGGATATGGGAACCAAGCCCCGAATTTTGGGTTTCAGATTGCAGATTGCTTTGGTTTTAGATTGGTCGGGTTTCGGGTCTAGGTATGTAAAGTTCGGGCATACTTATAATGCAAAAAATATATTCAATCGATTTTAAGGATGCATTCAATCGATTAAGAGGATTGACGAAATCGGTAATAGGTTTAGAAATTACAAACATATTGTGGCACCATTTAATGTATTTATGAGAAAAGAGTTCGACTGGTTAAGATTTAGAATTTTCAGAAGATAAATTTATATTTATGTAATATTAAAAAAGTGAAAGATTGTGTGAGAAAGAGGGTTAAAGTGAGTAGTGTGAGAAGAGATCTGGATCCTTGATCATCTTTAATCTCAAACCCACCCATGGATTTCATTTGATACTGAGATTGATTTGTTGCATCTAAGTGCATCTCATCCTAATATGCATCCAATGGCGGTGATCCCTTATTATGGTTCTCACCATATATATATATATATATATATATATATATATATATATATATATAGGGTCGGGTTCAAATGTTAACCAAAGTTTTTGTGTTAACTTTGTTAACCGATCTTGGTCATTCAATCTTTCAATAAACGGTTGTGATTAATCATGATAAAAACTTATTTTTTTAAATTTAAAATTTCATAAAGATAAGTAAACAAAGTTGAAAAGGGTATTTAGGTAAAAAAATTTATGTAACTCTCATATCATTAATTAATTGGGAGTTACAAAATAAAAAATTCTATGATTATTGTTAATTTATTTTTGTTAATGTAAGAACCATATGAACATAACTATATATATGAACCATTGTGTCAAATACGAACAAAAATTTGACATATATATGAACTTGAATTGCATAGTATTTATGAACACAATATGAACATAATAAGAATAACTACTATACGAAAGAAAATAAATAAAAAAACAAGTATGAACACGATATGAAAAAAGCTTGTGAACAATAGTTCCTTCATTATAAACACATTCAGGAGCGATCATTTGTCAATTGGAGTTTTATACATGCATTGCATCCATACCATTTAAGGTTCACCCCTTGTTCATATATGTTTCTGATCTTATATGAACACATAACCCCAACGCTATGAACACCGGGTGCAAACACTTACACAAATATAAAGATTTGGTATCAAAGTTAAAAATAACACTTGTGTTCATATGATAGAAGTAACATGAACACAATGGTTCATGATTAATAAAAGTCGGTAATATGACAATATGAAAATGGGTCGTACATGTACTTTCATTTGAACATGTAAATTAGGTATGTATTTTAATAATTAAAGAAAAAAACTATCAATACAAGATGAATTATAAAAAAACACAACACATCGTAATGAACATAATTTCGATTAAAACGAATCTAAAAAAATAAATATCTATTACCAAGACATTCGCTTTGGTTAATTTCTTCAATTCCATACCTCAAACTCCGATTGTCATCATAAACCATTTTAATCTTCTCACTATTGTCAATTTATTTTTCATTGCGTTTATCCATATTAGCTTGATCGATACCGAAAATTTTTACTACCGTGTTTTCTATGTGAATTAAAAACTGATAAAACAATGAACATTGAAGATCATGATTAAAAAAATAAAAATATTAATATTATAAATGCATTTTTTTTGGGATTTGATGATTTGTAACTCCCCATTAATTGTTTGTGAGTTACATATCAAATCAATTTACTGAAATACCATTGTAATTAAAATGTAAACATGACATAAACCTACAAGAATAATGGAATTTGATTGGTTGCCATGGTTTTAAAAGTTAACACAAAATTGTTGGTTAACATTTGATCTTCCCCTATATATATATATATATATATATATATAGGGGAACGTTCAAATAAAAACCACTCAATTTGTAAAAACTGTGAAAACCTCATTCAACCAATCATAATTTTTCATTTTGTTCATTTTTTTGTAATTATGAGAGGTTGATTAATCATTTTTATTGTAGAGTGTGTTAATCATGTATATTATCATCATTATTATTTTAATTTTAGAGAAATACATGAAAGAGTTTCATTAAAATTTTATTAAATATTATATGAAACAATTTCATAACMATATATAAAACAAATTCATCAAAAAAAGTATTATATGAAACAATTTCACAAGATTAAACAATTTAATGAAAAAAATTCATAAGATTAAACAATGAAATCGACGTACGTGGGTGGTTTGTACGGTTTTTACAAATATATATGGTATATTTCAAATGCAAACATGTTCATTTGTACAACCAATGCAACCAAATTAATTGAGATATTTATGGAAATGATGAGAGTTCATTTATTATGACTAGAAAAATACTCGCGCAATGCAACGAGATATATCTTGATTTTAATGTTTTGTTTTATATTTTGAGTCTATCAATGTTATAATGCGATTTTTGTGGTTTTGAGAAACATATTTTTTTTTGAACAAAATATAAATTTAAAGATAACATAAAATTTTGATAAAAATAAGGGATATTAATATCAAATTATCTATTTAAAAGTTTTTTTTTTGTGTAATTTTTTAATTCAATTTTTTTATTATAATTTAATTAAATTTTAAAAACAAACTAATTTATTTTTGGTTTAATAAAATAATTTTTTAAGATAATAATTAAGTATTATGTTAGAACTCAATGATTATCTTAATTATATTTTAGATTTTTTACATTTAAAATTATGTTTATTATGTATTTGATTATGTTTATATGTAGTTAGTTATACGAATTCAAACATAAAGCTTTAATAAGTTGTACTTACGTACAATCAACTTGTAATCTTGAATTTTAAGTAATATACATCAATAAGCAGTACTTTATGAATAAAAAATTGTTTTTAAGAGTTTTTGTCAAATGTTTTATAATATAATATAGATTTGAATATTTATGAAAGATAACTAGAGTTAATTAATTATGATCAATAATTTATATTCGAAAACAATAAAAACTTTTATGAAATTACATATTCATCAAATTAAATAGACGGTTGAGATTGAATTGTATTGGTTGTACAAATGTAAAAGGTTGCATAATAATTCACTTCTCTTTTTCTCTCTCTCTCTCTCTATATATATATAGTGAGAAGCGTAAGAAGGGATTTACACAATCGGATGCACATTAGAATGAGATGCACCGATCAATTCTCATATCAAGCGTGATTTATTAATGAGTTTGAGATTAAATGTAATCAAAGTTTAGATCTTTCTTACCTTAAATCTTTTTCTCACACGATTCTTCCCATATGTGTGTGTGTATTTCCAGTTTTTAGACGAGTCGGGTGGGGCAAAAATCAAATCCAACCCGAACCCACACATCCCCCAAAAGTCGAGTTTCGGATTTTCATATTTTCAAGCATTCAAGTTTTACATAAACATCTTATTTTTGGTTGAGGTCCGAATTCGATTTCTGATCATTGAGGTTTTGCAGACCATTACCTTTACCGACTAATTTCCTGCTTACATACATAAATATCAATATTAATATATAAATTAACCAAATTTTAATATATGGGTTAGTGATTAGTGAATACAGCATTACCCTCTACACTCTACAGTAGTAGCTAAACACATCAAGATGCTGATGATACAGACTGCTACAAGATTGCTTCACCTACTCCAGAACCGACAACACCTTCCCGGCTTCCCCTGGGGACCCGTTTTATCGAATCTTGAGGGTGAATTTATCATCTTTTTATTTATTTATTCATTTTGGGGAAGAATTTAGGGTTTCATTCGGTCTTTTTGTTTGTTGAAGATGAATATATTATATATAACTTCAAAGTTTAGGTGAAAAAGTGAAGGTGGGACTCAAATTCTTTGTCCTCTGGGTTTACCGAACGCCGCGGGAAAGCGGAATTCATCCGTCATCCGTCAACAACAAACACCCAGTTTGTCATTATTCGTATATTTTTCGTCTCAATTATTTTATTCAAATAAATCCACTCCAATCTACCTAAACCACTAATTAATCTCACATGCATCACAATCGAGTCTAACTCAAAGTCAATCATACTTTTTTTCCTAGAAACGATTTGAAATCATTCCTTCAAATCCCACATTAATGGTAGGATATTCCGCCATTTTAGGATAAAAAAGATCAACCTACTTACCAAGAAAGATCTGAGTTCTGACGGGTCCAAGTTTGTTTTAGCAATTGATGGAGCTTATGAAACCATTTCATCCTCCTCTCGTCATGGTCACCGACGGCTATTCTGGGTTTTCTCCTCCGGCGATTTTCCGAGATGGGTTTGACCGCAATAGTCTTCCGGTGCCGGATACCGTTGGTACTGATAAGGTCTATGTGGCTGTTGGGAAGTCGTTGGAAAAGGCTGTGTCTTTGTTCCACTGGACTTTCAGGAGGTTTAGAGGCCAAGAGATCTGCATACTCCATGTTCATCAACCTTCTCCCTTGATTCCAACACTTTGTGAGTTAATCCCTCTCATCTAAATGCTAATTTCATTTGAATTTCGATACTAGTTTTGATTTTGAAGAGTGATCATGATTTATGCCCATAACTGGCTCATTCGGATTTCAATTTCTGGGTGGTTTTCTGCAGTTGAATATGTTCAAATCTTGATTAGTTTGTTTGGTTCTAGAGAACTTTAATCATGCTTACATGATAAATCCCAGTATCCCACCTCAAGCAACAAATGCATAGGTAAATGGAGAGCAATAATTTGATATTTAGGTTAAATCTACTACTTTCCAAACTCAAATTTGATATGATTTCATTGCCCTTTGACTTTGAGATCATGTGAAGGTAATGCCTTTTTGATTAAGGAAGATATACCTCATATTCTAAACAGGATTAAGATCAACTAACCCACCAAATAACTTTTATAAAAGAAACATTTTTTTTCCAATCAAGAAATCTTTTAACCCTTTATATCATGTTTGACCAATCATAATCAGTTGTTAGTGACATAATCTGAAAGATTAGTTAAGAGTTTTTAGTTATCATACCTAATATGTCATCTTTAAATAATCAACTTACTTAAAAAATGCTATAAAGGTACAAAAACGAACACTAGTTGGCAGAAAATACTAAATAACGCTATAGTTGACGTCTCCAACAGGTCGTCTAAAATGGAGATTTTGGGCAAGTTTTTGCTCCGACATATTCTCCAAAACCTTAATCCAAAACGGATAGTGTTTGAATTCTCCAAACTTAGAGAACTCCCCGAAAATGATTACCATAGAGAGAAATATTTATTTTAATTATATTCCCACCAATAAGAGTCCTTGAAATTAAATATTTAGGAGAGAGAAATAATATTTGGAGTATTTTAATAATACATACAATCAATGTTGTAATCCCAAAATGGAGAAACTGTTGAAGTTGAATGTATTTTTTTTTCATTTTGGAGAAATTTTAGAGATGGTCTAATGTGCTTTTTCTTTATTTTTCTCAAAATCAAGTGCGCTCTTGCATTTTTGCAATGATCCAAAATGCTAGTCACTCTTATCTTTCTATAAACTTCTGGCACAAATTTGATTACTGCCAATGAGAAGTTGATGATTGGCATATATGGTTTTGTAATGCAGTGGGAAAACTACCGGCAGCTCAAGCGAACTCTGATGTTGTATGTGCATATAGAAGAGAGGAGAGGGAGGAGATGGAGAAGCTTCTACTTGATTACACGAGTCTTTGCGCCCGATCAAAGGTGTTTTTTCCTTTAACAATATCCGTAGTTGTAGATACTTATACAGCATTTGTGAAGCCATAGTTCACACATCTTTGAGAGATCAAGTCCTACATACCCTTTTGGTTAGCCCGTAACCTGCTGGTTCTGTTTAGGTACTTGCTCCTTGATAGTGAAAAAGGTCTTTACGTTCTTCATTTTGTTATGGAGTGCCTCAGGAAACACAGGCGATATTTCGTTTTTTGACTTCTTGGAAGTCAACTGTCTGTTGTACATCTTAGATTTTGGTATTATTATCGTTGAAGAAGCTTTTTGTTTGGTTTATCATTATGAAACTTCTATGTGCAGGTTAAGGCATGCGTTGTGACTACTGAAAATGACCAAGTTCGTAAAGGAATTGTGGATTTAGTTAATGAATTTGGTGTACGAAAGCTTGTTATGGGAGCTGCATCGGAGAAGTAAGTCTTTTTTTGCTTCTCTTGTATGGATTCGTTATAATGATTCACATTCACCGACATGTTTTCCATCTCATAGGGTATTCATCCACTTCGATTGAAACTAATGCTTATGGGAAAATTTAGCAGTAGCTTCACCCTTCACACATGAATATTCTTTTTCTTGGAATATAAAGAAATTAATTTTCGATAAAAAGAGTAGTCAGATTCTTGTATTCTAGTCTTTCTGTTTACGAATGCGGTCTTGATTACCTCATTTTTTACTCCTAGAAAAGATTTAACCTTTGCTCAAATTGGATGCTTTCTGGTGAATATGAAGCCTGATTTGGGATTTAGACCGGACTATGAATAAATCTGGGCCAAATTTAATTGAAAACGGTCGCCAAATGACAAGTTAAAGCCAGATAGAGACTACAGTTTTCTTGTCTGCTTCAGTTCATTGGATAATTAGGAAGAGTCATAATCTTAACACTCGTATACAGTTGGATGAAGGTGAAGAAAAACTCGAACAAATCAAGTTTTGTCGCCAAAAATGCCCCTCCATTCTGTCAAGTTTGGTTCGTCAACAAAGGTCAACTTCTTTACACCAAAGAACCCACCGACGTCTATGATGCTCTGCCACCATCAATCCATCAAGATTCCGACACTTCAGATCAGTCCAACACTTTAAGATCTCAATCTTTACGTTACCCCAGCAGTACTGAAAGGGAGTTGCAAGAAGTTTACCGTCGCTCCACCTCAACTGTAGGTTTCATTTCCGGAAATACGAGCGTGATGAGTAAACAAGGTGAAGGAGACTGTTCATACCGTTTACCATCAAACACTTCTTCAGATTCTGGATATTCATCATCTACTGAACTTGATTTGAGATTTGAAGAAGAAAGCTTATACAAGAAACTTGAAGAAGTCAACATTGAAGCCGAAGCATCCAGAAATGAAGCATTTCAAGAGCTTCTAAAGAGGAAAAGATTAGAAGCACAAGCTAGTGAAGCCTATAACAAGGTAGAATTCTATTTCAAATACAGCTTTGGCATCGCCATTACTCATACCGTTTGAGTTTGAGGTAGAACTCTATACAGTTTCTTTACTCGTAAGCCATCTTTTTGAAAAGCTACTTCAAGTAACGTTTCAATAAGCTCCAAGAGTTTTCTTCCACTTTTTTCCAGTTATACCCCTATCTTTTTCCGTTTAATTTTTCAAACATATCTTTTTAGGTCATTTTTCTATTGTCATCTTGTTTATGATGTAGTTTTTACCAAACATGGGTAACTTATCAACTAACAACCAACATTTGAATTTGAGATGTTATGGATTTGACCTCAAAGTTAAAGATTGTCTTGTGACCTTTTTAACCTCCTGTTTGACTTCTCTAGGTGAAGGCTTATGAGTCTGCTCATGCTCAAGAAGTTGAACAAAGAAAAATAGCCGAGGATGAGCTGAATGCTGCAAGACGAGAGCTTGAGCAACTGTTGGAACAAAGAGAAATAGCATCAAAAGAACTGCGTAACGCGATGAGAAACATAGCAATCTTAGAGAATCAAGTACAAGAAGCAAACCGTAACCGAGAAGAATCCGCCGAAGAATTGAAACTCATCCAAGCGTCTATCGCAACTCTAAAGATCGAAAAACAAACAGTTCAAAGACAAAGATTTGAGGCAGCAAAGTGGCTCGACAGGTGGAAAATTCGTGGGCAAGCCGGAGGTGCATCTTCTACGGATGGATACACTGAAGCTACATCAACAACTGGAAGATTAATGGAGTTTTCGTTGTTGGATTTGGAAAATGCAACTTTTAATTTCTCCGAGAGCTTCAAGATTGGATGTGGAAGATATGGGTGTTCCATCTATAAAGGCGAAATGTCGAATAGAACAGTCATGATAAAGATGCTACATCCGAATAACTTGCAAGCACAATCGGAATTTCAACAGGAGGTTAATATCTCTTATACCTATAACTTGCACTCTTGTTTCCTTAATCTTTTTGTTTTACAAGCCACGGTCTTCATGGAAACAACAATACAACAAAATTGGCTTTATAGTACCAGAAGCCTTTTGGCCTAGCGGTGTCCTGGTTACTCGTAGAGCGAAGCCTCCCCGAAGGTCAAGGGTTCAATTTTCACCAAATGTGAGGAGGGTGTGTGAGTTCATTTGCTGTATATAAATATTATATATTTAAAAATTCGGCTTTATAGGACGCCAAAATATCTAAATGTTTCAGTAGGTTACTTTAAAAAAGGTCTGCGTGCATTATACCCCTAGATCCTACTTGCCTGCATGAGATTTAGCGGGTTTGTTTGGTTTATGCAGGTGCAAGTTGTTGGGAAGCTGCAGCATAAGCATATCTTGAGTTTGATCGGCATATGTCCTGAAGCCTATGCCCTTGTTTACGAGTACATGCCCAGGAGCCTTGAGAGTCATGTTTCTAATAAAAGCAAATCGTATTCCATGTACTGGAAAACCCGCACTCGAATCATTTCCGAAATTGCGAATGCCCTTTTGTTCTTACACACTTCCCGACCCAAAAAGATTCTACACGGCGATTTAAAGCCCGAGAATATCGTTCTTGATTCCGAACTCTCCATTAAACTATGCAATTTCAGATTCTCGACATTGGTCAACGAGGAAACACTCCGCTGTCGTAGTTTTCGCCAATATGCAGAACCAAATGGACCCTTGTTGTTTACTGATCCGGAGTTTCTTCAAACTGGAACTTTGACAGCAAAGTCTGATATTTATTCTTTTGGGATGATCATCTTGTGGCTACTCACAGGAAGTCGGTCAGCTGGGTTAGTCAATGAAGTGAAGAAGGCGGTTTCGTGTTGTAATTTAGGCTCAATCTTGGATGCGTTGGCTGGCGAATGGCCTAGCTTTGTAGCCAAGCGGTTGGCTGATTTGGGTTTACGATGCTGTGAATCGTACGCTAGAGACCGGCCTGTGGTCTCCCCGATTTTGGTTAAAGAACTGGAGCAGCTGGCTCTTTTAGAAGAGCGGCGAGTGCCATCTTTTTTCCTGTGTCCCATTCTAAAGGTGAGCCTTTTTCCCTTAAAGGTTTCAGCTTTCATATATAGACTTGGTACGAAGGATTAACGTTTAGTTTTTTATTTATTTATGCAGGAAATCATGCACGATCCTCAGTTGGCGGCAGATGGATTCACGTACGAAGGTGACGCGTTGCGTGGATGGTTGAAAAACGGGCGTGAAACGTCTCCGATGACAAACTTAAGGCTTAGCCACTTGAATCTTACTCCAAATCATTCACTTCGGATTGCGGTTCAAGACTGGCTGTGCAATCCTTGAGCATGTACTCTGTATGGTTGTACTTTGCGCCTTATCACTTGTACCATTATCGAACATACATATATATATATATATATATATATATATGTGTATATATATAATGTTTAAAGGAGGCAGTGAGCTTAAACACATTTGTACATGGTAAAAAGGAATAAAGATTCTGCTTTCTTTCCCCAAATAATGTGATTGACGATTGTATTAACAACCAAAAAGGAGTCTTGGAGGGTCATATGCAGGGTTTCTTGAGTAAAATGAAATTTCTATGAATCAAAATTACAAAAATAACCTTTAATTTTTTTTTTTACAAAAAATACCCCCAACTAGCATTATGCGTTAATCGGTACGTAAAGGGGCAAAATAACAAAAAAAAAAAAAAAAAGTGAAATCTATAACGATGTGATGTGATGTGATGTGATGTGACCTTGACCAGCGTTAGCGACTGATCCTCACACACCAGCCGATGTGCGGTGCGTAAGATGCCCATGTGACCTCCTTATCGAGAGATTGAATCTTCAATACAACATCTATCTTATTTTGTTTTTTTACTCCTCACATCCCACTATATACAAACCGAATTTCTACTATCACAGCACAAACCATCACTTTATCTTCACTTTATTAGGGTGCGTTTGGTATGCAGACTGGACTGGACGGGACAAAAAAAAAAAGTCTCATGTTTGGCATGTCATGGACAAAAATTACATGGGACAATGTGAGACTATTTTTAAATTTGATGAGACAAAAGTTGATAATTTTGTTCCACCAAAAAAGGTGGAACAACATGGGACTAAATGTAAATTTACTACCTTACCCTTAAACCCAATAGAAAACCTACCCTCCTTTGCCCTCGTCTCTTTCACACCCACACCAGTTCCACTACCACATCGCCTCCTTCCACCCGTCTCCTTCCACCCRCCTCCTTCCACGCCGTCTCCTTCCACCGGCGCCACCGCCTCCTTCCACCGGCTTCTTCCATATCGGTATGAATTTCATTTGCGTCGATTTTTTTTGTTGTATCGATTTCATTTGCATTGATTTTGCTGTATTGATTTCTCTTTTGCTGTATCGATTTCTCTTTTCCTGGCATCGATTTCTCTTTTCCTGGCATCGATTTCTCTTTTGTTGGCATCGATTTCTCTTTTGTTGTCATTTTACAATCATGATATGATACAAAATAACATTGAACTACATTTAAGGATAATATGGTCGTTTTAACAGTTTTGTCCTGTCCTGTCCTAATTGTACCAAACATGGGACAGACAATTAGTCCTGTCCCGTCCCGTCCAGTCTGCGTACCAAACACTACCTTACGATTTTTTCACATTCTATATCAAACCTTAATATACTCTCAATTTTAAATATCATTTGTCACCATCGTTGACCAATATTTGATCGTGTTCATCATGGTAAGCATTCTTACATTAAACAAAAACATAATTTTGTTTCACACTATTTTGGATTAATATGTTATTTTTATAACCTTTTTATGTCATATTTACTAGGGAGATTATTATGAAGCATTTGTAAATATAAAATCAAATATTGAAATTTCAATTACAATTTTGAAGGCATGGCGGAGGTCAGAACAAATGTTTAGAAATACAGTCATTGATTCTTGAGAGTTTGGAGAAGATAATTTTCTTTGGATGTAAAATCCATGCTCATTTAGCAGCTACTCAGATGTCTCAATTCCTCAAGTATGAGAATCCCAACAACCGAGAGAACTCCAAAAACCGAGAGAAACGGAAGATTGAGTATTCCAGAACATCGATTTTGCAGATTTCAGTAGTTGAAACACAATGAGAATATTTATACATGTAATTTTAGCTTGAAATCATAGCAAAAAGGTAAAAATTTAGAAATCCAAAAATGAAAATGGTTAAGAGTCAGTTTTGGGGACCATGCAGGTAAATGGAGGTTCGCATGCAGGTAACAAGCTTGCGATGCAGGAGTTTATGATTCTTCCTGTTGGAGCTTCTTCTTTCAAGGAAGCCATGAAGATGGGTGTTGGAAGTATATCATAACTTGAAGGTGTCACCTTCTACGCTTTTCACCATACCATGGCATCGTTGTAGGCTTTGCATTAACAATACTTTTATCTTGCAGTCTGTTATTAAAAAGAAATATGGTCAGGATGCCACCAACATTGGTGATGAAGGTGGCTTTGCTCCTAATTGTGATTCACCCACGTTGCATCGCGCGGGTACACCACTAGTTAAAACAAACAAATGCAGTGAAATATCAACTATCTCATGATCACAACATGATCTTGACCTATCATTTGCTAGGAAAATGAAACTACCACTTGTTTAATTGGTTTATGAGTGTGCAGAAGATGAAAATGATCCTAAAAACTAGAAATTTGAAGCATCTTTTTGAACTCTTCAAATAGCACTGATTTATTGTGGACCTGCACTTTCCCACATCGCAATATGAATGTAAATCTGGAGGTAGAAGCAGATGCATAAACAAGGTCCTCAACAAGGTTTTATGATCACGCAGCCATGCAATGAATACAAAGCGAACTATTCTTTCGCCTTTTACTAAAGAATACCGTGTGTTCGTTGTATAAAGTGGCATACGCTTATTTTTGGAGAGGTTTTCCTTTTTGTGAATACCTCCTGCAATTTGTAGTTTTTAAGATTTTTAATGAACGTTTTTCATCATACAGTCTTTTTCGTTCATAGTTGTGATCACCGACTAACCAAAACTCGCCCAATAAAAAACTACTTTTTTACTCGATGATGAACTTACTTTATTTCGATAGATCAAACTAGCTACGATCGCATGCTCTGGCCCTGGTTCCGTACTTTCTTTAATTGCTGTGAAATCCCGCTTCATGTCGACGTTTGGTAGACGTCGTAGACAACCTGAACGGTTACTCTTACTGCTCTTCTTAGCTTGATTGGAAAAAGACGTGAATAAAAGATGTCACTAAATCAAATTGAGTCCAATAATTTAAGAAATGGTGAGAATTAAAATCCACTAATACGTTAACCCTTAAGTTTACTTACTTTATAGGTATATTCGTTAGGGTGTATAAGCTCTCCATTTCATCCCACATTGGTGTCAGAATGAGATACAAAGTCAGAGCAGAGGTCATTTAAGAAGGGTGTGGTCAGACTTTTCACATACTTACCTGGACGGGATCAATGGGTGATCAAAAAGGCCTATGGTCTAAGTTGGTGACCTCCATTGCACTTTGGAGGGGTGCCTGCCTAAGGTCGGCCCAAGTGGTCGAGCCTACGTCATAATTTGTGACAGTGGAGGCATGCGTTCGCGCAGCTTCTACCTAATTTCTAAGTCTTCAATCTTTCTTGTATACAATAATTTGCTTCATTTTGTATATAAAAATTCCCTACTTTTTTTGTTCTTCCGTCGTCTCTTTTTTATCTATTAAGGGGTTTCTGGGATTGCTTATAAAAACAACTTATAGAGGTGTGACACCGTTAATAAACAATTTATAGTGTTTGAATAAACAGCTTATACCGGTGCCGAACCGGTAATAAGGAGTTTTTGAAGAAGTTAAACTATTATAACTTATAATAAGTTGATAAAGACTTTTGTAAAAAAGCATAAGTTGTTTCAAATAAGCAATCCCAAACACCACCTAAACAATTGTATACAAATATTATTGAGATTAAATATGATCACAAACTGAAATGAACTAGATTAGTGATATGAATATTAGTGAGTTGGGTTGTGCCGGATGGGTTTGAGTGGCCAAACCAAAAATCCAATCAGAATCCAGATTGGTCTCGATTGAGGTCAGTCAGGTTCGGATATAGTTATAATGTACATTTGAGAGAATTGATGAAATTGATACTAGGTTTTGAAAGTAGAAAAGAATACGATTGACTAAGATATTTGATTTTTAAAAGATAATTAGATAAATATATATATATATAGATGTATATATATTTCGGGTTTTTTTGGAAGGATCGTATGGCCAAAAATCAAACACAATCCAAACCCAAAAGTAGGGTTTCGGATCTTCGGATTTCAGGGCATTCGGTTTTTCTAGACAACATCTTATTTTTGGTCATGGTCGTGTTCAAATTTCAAATCATTCGGCTTTTGCACACCTTAAATATCAGACTCCAGCTCGATTAATTTTGCCAAAATAATGCTTAAACTCATATATTTTTTCATTGTTTGAGGTAGTAGCAACGAGTTTTTGTTTTATATTATGATTTGACTTATTAACATATCACTATGTTAGAAGTGTATGTTGCGATGGCTCGGTTTGACTCGAATATAATAATTTTGAGACGAGCCTATCAAATGATTGATGTTATTAAGCTCAACTCATTAAGTTAAATGAGCTTTATTATGTGTTCGAGTTCGACCTATGCTTCAGAATTACGAAGCTCAAGCTTAGTTAGCTCGTTAAATACTTAGATTCATTAAACATGCCTGGGAATTACAGTGGATGCCTGGATGGTATCAAGCAGTGGTGGGTTTTATAGACCAATCGCGTATGCAAAACTCGTTTTTTTCTATTGATTAGTTAACATGCCTAACCGTCATTTTATTTACGTTCTCGTGAATGTTTTCTTTTCTATTGTCAAATATTTAAGAAGGGTGTATGGGACTTACCTAAACGTCGTAGCCAACCTAAACGGTTACTCTTACTGCTCTTTTTAGGTAGATTGGAAAAAAGAAGTGAATGAAAGATCCCACTAATTCAAATTGTCTCCAATAAAATTCAACATTGTCACTTACTTATCAGATAAGATTTTAGTCAACAAAAACGGCATTGTATGCAACTATTTACCCCGTAAGCGTTAACCATGGTAAGAGTCTTCATCCTCACTTACGGGGTAAGACTCTTGGTCCTTGTCTCGTTTTTACCGGATAAGATTTTTGGTCCTTACCATATTCATCTGATAAGATAATATGACTTGCTAAATGTTTGATAAACGGCCTATAAGTTAAGCTTTAGGTTTGTTTACTTTCTAGGTATCTTATTAGGGTGTATTAGCTCTCTATTTCATCCCACATTGGTGTCATAATGAGATATGAAGTCAGAGCAAAGGTTATTTAAGAAGGGTGTGGTCAAATTTTTTACATACTTACCTGGATGAGATCAATGGGTGATCAAAAAGGCCTATGGTCTAGGTTGGTGACCTCCATTGCACTTTGGAGGGGTGCCCGCCTAAGGTCGACCCAAGTGGTCGAGCCTACGTCATAATTTGTGATAGTGGAGGCCTGCGTTCGCGCGGCCTCTACCTAAACTTCCAACTTTTCAATCTTTCTTGTAGACATTAATTTGCTTCCTTTTATATCCAAAAATGCAATACTTTTTTTATTCTTCAGTCGTTGAACATGATCACGCTGAGATGAACTAGGGTAGTAATATGAATATTAGTGAGTTGGGTTGTGCCGGGCGGGTCTGAGTCGGCAAACCAAAAATCCAATCAGAATTTGGATTTGTCCCGGTGGAGGTTAGTTGGGTTCGGGTATAATTTTAATTTTTTCAAAATAATGCCGAAACTCGAATGTTTTTTCATTGTTCGAGGTAGTAGCAACGACTTTTTGTTTTATATTTTGATTTGACATATCACCATGTTAGAAGTGTATGTTGGGATGGCTCGGTTTGACTCGAATATAATAATTTAGAGACAAGCCTACCAAATGATTGATGTTAGCTCAACTCATTAAGTTAAACGAGCTCCACTGATGTTAGCTCAACTTATGTGCTTAGTTCCCCGCAGTTATTTTCAACAGGCCCGGTGGCCTAGTCCGTTTTAAGGGAACCCCCTCACTCTCTTGTTTAACAAGCATTCTCCTTGTATATTGTTACCGCTAGTTTTTGCAATCATGTTACAATGATAAAGTTGGTTGATGATTTTGTTAAATATATCACAATTTCTTGTTCTTTTAGTTTTATACATGTTCAAACAATTAATCTATAGAAGAAAATTATATAAAATAAAAAATAGTATACTTTGCTATTTGGTTAACTGATATGGCAAAAAAATAATCAAAATCAAAATTTACCTTATTTGGTTAACTGAGCCGTTTAACCTGCAAACCGAATAATCCGAAACTGTTTTGGTTTGGGTGAGTTTATTCAGTTTCGATATTTTATACCCCAAGTCCCCCATTCCCATAAGTTTCTAGGACCGCCACTGATGTCACGATAAACGTGGAACAATGAGTTTCTTCTTGTCCAATATACCAAACACAACCTTAATAGCTTGTGCAAGAACCAAACGTGAACAAACATGTGGTAAAAAGTAAATAGGGAAATTGACGCAAATGACCATCTCCCACGCTCAAATTTATCTCCTAGTCATTTCTCTTCCGAGTTTACCCAAATGTCATTACTTTTACAATATTAGCTAGGTCCGCAATATTAGCTAAAAGGCAAAAAAAATCAAATTCAACACAAATAGACACGTTTAAATTGGATAACACTTTTATTTATACAAATTCAATATAACTTGTATAAAACATGATAAACTCAAACATGTCTTTTATCTTTACAATAAAAATACTCAAATTATTTGGACGATTTGGTTGGTCTGAAAGCTTTATTTGGTGTTGAATGATTGAATATCAATCTCATCAATAACATCGATCTCATAAATATCATATCGAATTTCATCCGATTTCACGATTCTGTAAAATATATACATGAATCTTTTCTGCAAAGTAGGAAACATTATAATTATAATTGGATCAGGTAGATAATTCCAACGATTGATTCTCAATATATGTTAGGTTTTAATGAAAAAAAGAAAGTGAAATGTCAAAAATCCAATAAATTTTTTAATTTTGAATAATTAAGTTCATAAACTTTTTTGATATGTATATAGATACTTCATTAAAATTATTGAAAATTAGGAAGATCGATGGCAGTGGGTGGCGACGGTGATGGAGAGTGAACAACGAGCGGTGGCAAGCAGGAGCTACACCGTTAGGTGTGAAGGGCTTGAGAACGGTAAAACTGATTTTAAAATATTTTTCCCTTTGAACTTTCCTAGCGATTACATATAGTTTTTTTTTTTTGGATTAAGGTAACATTTGGTATGTAGATATAATAGAACAATATTGGATAGGACATGACTGAATAAGTGTCAGACCGGTATTTGGTACAACTAAGACAAGACAAAACTAGACAAGTTGCCCCATAAAGTTATTTGATGATTATATGTATATATATATATATATATATACTAGAATCGTACTCGCGCAATGCAGCGAGATACATCGTGATTTTAATATTTCATTTTATTTTTTATCTCATTCGATGTTATAATATGACTTTATGTGATTTTGAGAAATCGATGATGTTTTTATTTTTGAATAAAATATATGTTTGAAGATATCATAAAAAATTGACAAAAATATATCGATATTAGTATCAAATTAACTATTT